GTGGGGGAACTTGCACAATCGGTGGCTGACTAAATACTTTTTTGCCCCACTGTATGTCGGATTTCATGTTGTTGTTTTTGTTTTATCTTATGTCAAATATGTTACGTGTAAATGCATATTTTATGTTTAATGTAAAAATAAATGCCACCCTGGTCTTTCTTTCTTTTACCTTTTTTATCAGACACAACGCAGAATCACACCGGTTACACATGTAATTGGCTACTTCTAACAAAATTTAGATTACATTTGGCCCTAAAAATCTAAAAAATAAATAAATAAATCCAAACATGGTGTGTAAGATACCTTGACCTCCAATAACAATGTGTGGAATCTTGGAAACATTGTTGACCAGGATACATCCTGTCAGTGAGAACATTAAACAAATATCTGGGCCTTCTGCTCATTTTTGCTAAAGTTAGAACCATGCTACCTCAGAGTCCATTTTTACAGAGCATAAAGAAACAGCAACAGCTCACAGCAGAATTACCAGCTAACTTAGGAACATGGACAGCATGCAGACTCTACACAGAAAGGTTGCAAGGTTGGTTCAAACTTGGGACCCTCTTGCTCTGAGGTAATAGTGCTAACCGGTGCACTATTGTAGTTCCAGATCAGAGCAGAGCATTCATGTGTTTTTTACTACTGTAAGTCTCTATTATAGTAGCAGGGACTAGAAAAGAGTTCATATTTCTTCTCTACTGGCTTCTTTTTTCTTTTCATTCAACGCCTGTTAAATCCAGAACTGAATTTGAAAGTCTTCCTCTCACGTACAAAGTCCGGAATGATCCCCCCAACGTCACACCTTAAAGACCTTTTAGTATCCTATTATTCCAACAAAGCACTTCGCTGTCAGACTGAAGGCTTACTTGTGGTTCCTAGAGTTTACAAAAGTAGAATAGGAGGCAGAGTCTTCAGATATCAGGCCATCACCCCATAGATCCAGATTTAGGAGATTGACACACTAAATTTAAAATTAGGCTTAAACACCCTCCCCTTTTTTTTGATAGAGCTCATAGTTAGAGCTGGATCAGGTAACCGTGAACCATTCCCTAGTTATGCAGCTATGGGTTTGGGTTGCTGGAGAACTTCCCATGATGCACTTAGCATTTATTCTCCACACAATCCAATGCATTTATATGTCACTAATATGTGCGAGCTTTGTCACCTCTCTCCTATAATTTGTGTTTTGTCTTTCACCTCTCTGTGCTTTCGCTTTTTCTCTTCTCATCCCTAAAATAGTCAAACTGAGCTTGATCTCTCATAACCCAGTGCACTTTAACAACCTTAAGAAAATAATTACTGTCAAATTTCAAGAATGCATCCTAATGCTGTATGCTGTGTTTGTGGACCATGTTCCTGTTGTGTGTCTCAAATAATCTATTTCTCTTCTACAGTAATGTAGGTGAAGGAAATCGCAAGTGAACAATAAATAATAAATGTGCATGTCCTGGCTTTATAATAGACCTTAAGTTTCTTCTCCTGGCTTCCAAATTACCTGCTGGATAACTGCCTCAATGCATGTCAGGTGATGCTCCCCTTCCTGTTACACTAGGCTCTAATAAGACCTATGGAGAGGCAGATTTGGTGTGTTTGGCCCTTATCGAGCAGCTTGCCAGAGGACCTGGGGCCATCAGAATCTGTGAGTGCTTTCAAATAAAATCATGAGAAAAAGCATTTCAGTCCAAGATTTATATATTCAGTCAAACCAGAACAAATACGCCGTGCAATTTTACCTGAATGCTAATGCACAAAAGATTAATTTACTTTGATTTAATGTTTTACCATTCACAATTGTGTAGGAAAAACGGGATATGAAAGGAAAGGTTTCAGGCATTTAGGGATCGGTTCCGCTGCTCACCTTTGTCTGAATAGCGCAGGGCACATACACACCAGGAAACTAAAGCAGCTAAATCAATTAAAATCCCATTAAAGTCAGCACCATTATTGAGGTCATTACCAAGGGGGAGAGACGCCTGATGATGATGGTGGATCAAACAAGATCTAATTAATTCATTTATTCATTAACACGCTGCTCTCACGCAAGCATGGTTAGCGCAATGTAATGAAAATGGAGAGAGGGAGAGCCAGACATCAAGTGCAGCATCTCAGCACAAACATCAAAACTTGACACGAGAAGGAAAATATGAATATGAAATATGAAACACAACATCAAAGACGAGTTATTGCCAGTATAGGCCATTGGCTGCTTTTCAAAGGACACTGAAACACATGAACATTTTCTGGCACCGCAGTGAATGCCTCCTTTCAGCTCTGTTATGCACACACACACACTAGGTGTCAGTCTGGTTGCAGCAAGAGACAGAGAGAGGAAAGACAAAGAGGAAACTGCAAGACCAGGGAAAGGAGGAAACTACACAGCCTGTTTCTCTGCTTCATCTCACACCAGTGGAGCTGTGATTAGGGAGCAGCAGACAACGATGGGTATTGATCCTTTTTCAGATGGCCCAGGGACCA